CCCATTTCGTTAAGAAATTCCTGAAAATTTTCACTTCTGTCTAATTTCCAAACACCCACAAACTTCTCTTTAATTTCGTCAAGCGCCATTATTATTTTTAATAGTGTTAAACTTGTCTATCTCGTTATCGCTTCATTGGTTATCTTTTTGTTTACTTATTTATCTTAGTGTTTGAGATTACTAGGTTCAAATATTCATTCCTATCAACATACCATAAACGGAGAGTATTTCAAAAGCAATACATATTTCATTTTATAACATCCTGTACAATGTATATGAAGAAATGCCCCAAAATGTGGACATTTCGGTAATAACTTAAATTAGATCTATGGTTTGTCACTTAGAATAATCTAACTGTGTCTCTGGACAAGTATTCACCATGGTTAGAATGCCTCTAATATACTCGCTATGTAGCACAAAATTGCAGAATGAGAATCGCTTCAAAACAATTTTGAAGAACGCACAAGCATTTGCATTTAAAAAAAACTATCAAAGTAATTAAAAGTAACCTTTTTGAGGTTGTGTATGCCTTATACCTAAAATTAATCCATATGAAAATTGTTCTCAACGTCTTTTTCTCACTTGACAATTACAAACGATTGACATTTGTCAGTAGAATAAATAGGAAATTGATATCAGATTCATACCAAAATGAGTCCCGCCATATGACATGCATCTACAAATTACCGGTATGTGCAAAGATTTCGAGCACCTTCGATGAGTAGTTGCTGAGAAAATTACGGCCAATTATTTTATATGTATGGTACGATGGACAAACTAACGGATAAATAAGAAGTTGATATCGCATTTGAACTAAAATGAATTACACTATATGTGGCATGCCTCAGCAAAGAATGTGCAAAGATTTGCTCAGAGTAGTTGCTGAGAAAACTGCTACCAAAATTCGTTATGTATTTTACGGACAGGCGCACAGGTAAATAGGAAGGTGACGTCAGATGTGAACAAAAATGAGTTCCAACATATGCACACCTACTAATGTTATTGTGATTTAAACTCAAGACACGTGGTTTAAGTTTACCTATACAAAGGTTATAGGGTAGAACCGGTTTTATAAATAAAATTGGTAGTAAACAGGAATTGCTATAGTCTTTTTCTTTTGAAAACATGTCATGTGAGAAATGTGTTTCCAGACCTTTCTGAAAGACTTTCATGATTTTCAACAGAAATGGGTGGCTAAAGGGGGGATAACAATTAATATATCTTATTTTAGTTTACTGCAAAAATTACAGCTCACCAGCGACCGATACGCTGGAAAAAATGTGTAATATCATATACAAAGACAAACGTTTGTTTACCTGATATGGCTATTGCTATTAATGCGCACGGAGGATCTTACCACGAGCAACTGACCAATTGTTGATCGAATACGTTTACGCTAAATACATGTTTACATGTTACTTCGAACACGTGGTTCCGGTCAATCTATGGTCATGTCAATGAGTGCAAAATAAAAAAAAGTGTTCTTATTAACAAAATGCAAACATTAGAAACTATGAAAAATATCACAGGCGCTTTTAATTTGTGGTTAAATAGAAAATACATATATATAATAAAATGTATACGTAGTTATACGTAGTTAGTGTCACGTGATAACGTGTGTTGGCCAGAGAATCCACTTGACAATTGTATTCACCGATAGTACAATAAAGGAATTTATCAAGCGTAAAATTCCTGTAGTATTTGTAGTAACCCATAATGCAATTCTCATTCAGCTGATTTGTCAGTTTAAGTCACATTGGTGCCTCATTTTAGGCCTTTCAACTGCCGCTAGAGGTCGGCTTTATGAACGATAACTCACTGCTGAAACATGTTGAGAGCAGGCTCGGGGTATCGAACCGTTTACACACAAGGTAGTTTTTAGCATTTCCCGAGTGTTTCTTTGCTCTCAGTAGAATCCAGTGGTTTTAAATTTTAGCACCAATGTTAAACTTATTTACTGTATAGTTGCGGACACCATTTCACTACATATAATTAAAAGTTTTAATTAAAATAAAAAAGTGAAATCTACCCTCTTTCTTAGTTCTAACATAATTAAATTTTTATACTCGGTCGTTCCCCTTCGTGCTTAGTAACACAAGTAAGATGATCAATTGCTGCATTTACTTGTAAAAATATATATATTTATATAGGAAGCGAAAAAGCGCGAACACAAAAAACATGACATTGAATTTTCTTCTTTATAATAATCGCCAAAGAGAGTTAAAATATTGAATATAGTCTGTTCCCCATTCATTTGACCCTGTTATTTCAGGTAGAGTGAAGATATTCTCTTTCTCTTGGTCAACAATTTTGTGTACAAAACAATGTAAGGAACCCTTTTGTGTACATAACAATACCAATTCTGAAGCAGTCTATATGTCATTCCTATAAACGATAACTCATAAATCGGCACTAAGTTGGTCATTTTTCACACCTGAGTTACCTATCCTTAAAACACAACATCGGAAAAGTCAATTATAAATAATTAAACTTTTTAATGATGTAATTAAATGTATGCATAAGTTATTATCTTTTTTGATAATTTCATGTACCTATAAATCTATCTATGCAATGTTTTTTACCATATGTGCAACTTGAAAAATTAGTTGAAAGGCCTACTCATTTGCTAATCTGACGCCCAAAATATAGTCCCGGTTCCCATGCAAAATATTTGTCCAAAAAAAATCTTAATTCATGACAACAGAAAATTGTATCATAGAGAATACTTATAATTTAAATTTGAATGAATTCAAGAGAGATCGATTGAAGTACATTTCTACAGAACAATATTATAGGGTGGTGAAAACTAAAACGCAACATAACTTTTCTGTTTACAATGTCTCCACGTGCTAGTCACTTCCTAGCCACATTTCCGTGAAAAAAATTAACATATCTCGCTGTAGTCTCGCTAACTCTCACCAGAGCTACTGTCAGAGCTACTCTGAACTCATCGGGTTTAAAAATTTGCAGAACACCAGAAAAATAAAAGGTTCCGAACACATTAGTAGGGGTGATATGGCATGCCCCAGCAAAGAATGTGCCAGAATGTCAAGCATCTGCGATTAGTAGCTGCTGAGAAAACTGCGACCAAAACTTTGTTTCAGACATAATTGGGTAAAACTGTATACCCCTCTTCTTTGAAGCGGGAGTATAATCGGCTCAATATCTGCACACGTTTAGAAAGGAGTGCAGAAAATCAAGTGGGGCAGAGGGTCGGGTGGATAGACAGACGGATACATAGACTCAGAGGAAACCTCTTCTTCCCTCCGGTTTTACCGGATTACAATCCGGAGGGAACATGAATATAAACCCGGGACTGAAACACGTGTACATGTACTTGTTTCTGTAATAAATCGCGGAGTATGGAGTTGGTTTTTACTACGCGGGTTCGAATCCCACTGTGGGACGTGGAGACTGGTCCTTCGGATGAGATCTTATAAACCGAGGTTCTGTGTCGAAGTAGGTTCTGGCATGTAAAAGATCCCCCTGCACAATTAATTAAACTTCATAAAAATACTTAGAAGCAAAGATACATGGCGGGTTCCAGTAGGTATTTAACCAAGCCTCTTCCTTTACTCCTCATAATCACTAAGATATTAAAAGCAGTGAAGGAAAAGCTTCAAGAGTATTGTGCAACAATTTACTCAAGAAGTGGTGTAAATCAAATGTGGATACTTGAAATTTTCAAGGATCTTTTGGACATTTTGAAATCATAAGATTTTACTAAAATCAACAGGTTAAAAATTTACGACTTTTCAACTTTATACAAAACAATTCCCCACAATAAATTAAAGTCCGGACTTTTTGATATCATCGACAGCTGCTTTTTATTAAAAGTGGCACTCGTAAATTTACTTCATATTTTGCAAAATCATTTTTGTTTTAAATTCTGATTGTAGACACAAGTGCTCAGAAGTTGATATCAACATGATGTTTGAGTTTCTGATTGACGATATCTATGTGGTTTTTGGAGACCAGGTCTTCCAACAATTTATTGGAATTCCAATAGGTACCAATTGTGCCCCGCTATTAGCAGACCTATTTGTATTTATATGAAGCAGAACTTGTCCAAACTAAGAAGAAAACATTTGCTGTGGCCTTCAACTCGACATTTAGATATATCGACGATGTTTTGTCAATTAATTATGGTTATTTCCATTATGTCGATATAATATCGCAATGAGCTTGAGATAAAAGGTACCACAGAGTCTGACACATTTAATTTATATTTGGATATTTTTTGCTTGAAAAAGACATTAATGGTACTCTAACCAAACTGGATGATAAACGTGATGACTTTACAATCGTTAACTTCCCTTACTTATATAGCAATATATCTTCATCACCTGCATAGTTACGGAGTTTATATATCTTAGTTGATTCGGTACGCAAGAGCATCTTTTTCATATGAACAATTTCTAAAAGGAGGTAAATTATTGGCAAACAAGTTGATGAAACAAGATTATCAGCAGTCTCGTTTTAAGTCATCAATTCTTTAGTTCTATTGTCGATACAATGACTTTTTCAGCAAATACAATTTATCATTGAGTCAAATGCTGACAGACTTTCTTCATACACTTTGTTAGTCCATTATTTATGCACTGCATTGACGGATTTTCCCCTTATTTCCAATCATGAGAAGAAGCGCCCGACGTGTGTGACCGGTCGGCAGGGGATGCTCACTCCTCCATGGCAATCGATTCAACTGATGTTTTGAGGACCGTGTTTGCTCTGCTCCTTTTTTGTAGTGTTTTAAGGACTTTTGATTTTATTGTATATGAAAGAATATTTATTGTAATGAATGTCACTGGAAATAATACAATAATTGAAAAACACAAAAAATTGAATCAGACTTAATTATCAAGTGTTAAAATTGGCTAATTAAAGAATAAATATCTCTCCTGTCGTATACCACAACAACAATCAAGAAGTATATATTCGTCATAAACATAGAAGGGCTACTTTGTGGAATATCAGCCAGAAGCTTTCTTAAAATCGTTTTAAATTTTGTTCGTTTCATTTTTTTCATCAAAAGGTACATCGCTCGAGCTCTCTTTGGTAGTTTTTGTAGAAGTGAACTGTCTCCTTATGCTCGCTGTGAGGGATCCCTTGAAGCCCAGGTTACAACGGCAAATGCTCTTCAGCTCATGTTGAAAATTTCTTGAAGTGACAACGTACAAGAAGAAATTGATGGCGTAATTGATTTGTTCGGTTATCTGTGTGACTTCGGTGTAAATCTGAAACCCACTGTTTTGAACTCCAAAAGCATTCTTACGCAGAATAAATGCGCTCAGATGGAGGGATCCGACGGGGGCAATGAGTACGATGTAGGCAATCATAACTCCCAACAACATCATGGTTGTCCTATTAGACTCAGCTTGTTGCTTTTGGTCTACCATCTTATGTTTTCCGGTTAGGCGGCGTCTTTTCCGTGTTAACTGTGAGAGTTTGATTATTATCATCGGTGTGAGTATACAAAGAATGATGATAGGGATGAAAGAGTACAAATTGACTCCTCCAAGTAGAAATCGACCGAACTGTTCCACTTCCTCTGGATTACTTGCATTGTAAACATCTGGATGGCATATCCCGTCTTTAATCTTTGATGCGTAGCTCCATATCGATGTGTAAGTACCTATGAAAACATAAATGCTGATGATTCCAACACGAACTACGTTTTTCGTGCAGATAAACTTGGCTTTTAAAGGAAACCAGACAGCTATGAATCGCTCCACACACATTGCGACCACTAGCCAAGAAGACGTCATCTTTGAGGTTTTGAATATTACAAAGAATATTTTGCATCCTATATCTGAGAGTGCCCGAAGATCAGTACCAATAAGTTGAATGATAAATCTTTTGTTGAACGGTTGTGTCAGAAGGAGGACGGAGTCGGAAACTGAGAGTGCCATAAGAATCATGCTTGATGTGATGTTTTTAAATTTTGGTCTTATCATTATGATGATGGACAAGCAGTTGCCTACAAGGCCAAGGACAAGAAAGGTGGGAAGGAAAATGAAATTTGTATAATGGAGGACTTCAAGGACGCGGTTGACGTCGCTTGAATGAGTGCCTGATTCATCAGATGCATTAAAACCAGAAATGTTGTACGTGCCGTTTCTGTCCATACTTGTTTCTGAAAGAAAAAAAAGAGATTATAAAGACCTTCAAAGGTTTAAAACGCGAGTGTCCATTGCAATGGAAAAAATTATCCTAAAATCGAGAAAAACTAGTGTTGTCAACAAGTACCCGGTTGACCGGTTACCCGTCGAACGAGACGAATATCGGTTAGTAAAACTGCTTATCTGTTCCTCGGATAAAATACATTTAACATAGTAAATACGCAGAAAAATAATGTAAATATTATATATAAAGGTATACTAGTTAATACAGTAGTACCGTTAGAATTGATCCAATGGTTCACATATAGGATCGAATTGTTTTGATTGGTTTTCACAACTTTTATAATTGATAGCTTTGATTGCCTAGAGGTATTCAAGTCTTGAAGACATCATCTATAATGGGTACCTGTGAAATGCGAAACGAAATAGAAACGACTGAGCTGAAACGAAATCAAAACAAAATCTGCTGAAACGAAACCAAAGTTTCAGAATGTTTTTCAAATCAAGGTATTTAATTGTATATGGGTGACACTGCATGTGGACTACTTCATATAAAATTAAATTTTAACCGGTTCGTTTCGTTTCGCTAGGCTTCGATTTGATTTAGTTTTGTTTCGTTTCAGTTCATTTCGGTTCGCATTTTACAGTTACCCGAGCTATAATTACCTGATCTAATAATTCAACGATGCTGCCACATATATATAAAGCTTGGAAGTACTTTGAAACAACTGCTGAGTCGAAATCTGTCAAATGTCATTTACCCTAATTGGGGTTTGACTACAAATATATAGAAATATTTACATTTGCTGTGTTTTTCTACTAAACCAACTGAGTAATTGATTTGAATACCATTTTCGTGTAAACTCATGCGTAGAAATATAGGAGAAACGTGCATTATTTAACGTGACGTTACAGTGAGGCTGCAGCGACGTTAACGCCAATTACAAAACACCAAACTGAAAAATATTCCTTAATTACCTAAGCTGAAAACAATTATAACGAAATCAGCGATTTACTGGACACTCCGCAAATTAACCAGTAATTACGGAATACGTAAAATTAATATTTATTTTCCTTGATTCCGTCATCTATTTAAAATGGGGACTGAAAAGGAAAATGGAACCAAGAGTCAATGTAAAACGGTGATTGACCATTTTATATTCACTTGTCTTCTTCCTGTGTCAATTAATTATTTTCTTGAATCTAAAATCAAAATTATTTGAAGACAAAGTGTTTACATGTTATATTAGTGTGTATTTTAAATAATGTTCATATACAGTATATTTGTGTTTTATAACAACCGATGATTAAAGGATTGGATAAATAATAGATATGTGGAAACTTTTAAGGAAAATCACCCGAGCAACCGGGTACTCGATCGGAAGATTGAGCGAGTAATCAGTTACTAAAAATCGTCCGATTTGACAACATTAAAAAGGAGTTATATATATCTATTCTCTGAATTGCTTCAGATATAAACCCGACATTCAAATATATGGGCGGCATTTTATCTATCAACAAAATTTCTACTTTGATTCGATACATGCCCTGAAAATCGACAAAATGAACCAGAAAAGTCGGACTCGTTTGTTTCATATATACAAGGATTCTGAAAAAAAACACTGCGGATAAAGTAAACTATATACAACTTCATATTTTTTTTACGACAACTTCCCTTTTATGTAACAATATACAATATTACCTGCACATAAGGTTTATATCTTTCATTAATTCGACAAGAAAGAGCATACTCTTTGTACAAACAATATCTAAAACGATTTAATAGCTAGGCCACCTACCTGAGAAGTTAATGATTGAAGAATATAAAAATTTGAAATTTAGATGAAGACAACATTTTGCACATTTGAGGTCGATACAACGATCCTCTTGTGCAGTTGTACAGCGTCTGCTTTAGAGTCTAGGAGTAAGTGGTTAATCTTTACGTCGCGGTCTCGATTCCCACTGTGGGACGTGAAGACTAGTTCTTCGTATGAAACCGTCTAGACCGAGGTCCCGTTTCGCAGAAGAGGCTGGTAAGAAAAATACCCCTCACCGCTAAATGGTCCTGAGTGCCGAGTATAAGTCAAATATGAAGCCCTCCACTGGCAAGTGGTGGCAGCTCCGAACCGGCAAGTGTTGGTGTCTCCATATATGTGAAAATTCTCGAGAGTGACTTGATATCAGAGACAAGTTCTTAAAATAACCAAAAGTCTCTGTCGAGACTGAAGCTCTACTGGTTTGTACTTATAGCAAAGGAAAAGTACTTAAGCAGTTGGGAATTGAAACTTAACAACAGCAATAAATAGAAGAATGATCCTTGATAAAGTATCTTTATGTTCTTAGTGTAATCTACTTGTGTGCCAAGTCATATTGAAATCAGACCAAAACTGTAGGAGTAGTAGCATTTTGAAACAATTTTACGGACATTTCTATTTTTAGTAACCACGGCAACATCATTCATTGAAATCAAAAACAGATGTACAGAATAATGGATCTTAGTGTAGTCTACTTATGTGCCAAGTTATATTGAAATCAGACCAAAACAGTAGGAGGAGTAGCATTTAGAAAGAATTTCACAGAAATTTCTATTTTTAGTAACCACAGCAACAACGTTCATCGAAATCAAAAACCGATACACAGAATTATGTATCTTAGTGCAGTCTATTTGTGTGCCAAGTTATATTGGAGGAGGAGTAGCATTTTGAAAGTATTTCACAGAAATTTCTATTTTTAGTTACCACGGCAACACCGTTCATCGAAATAAAAAAACCGATGTATAGAATTATGTATCTTGGTGTAGTGAACTTATGTGCCAAGTTATATTGAAATCAGACCAAAACTGTAGGAGGAGTAGCATTTCGAAACAATTTTACAGGAATTTCTATTTTTAGTAACCACGGCAACAACATTCATCGAAATCAAAAACCGATACACAGCATTATGTATCTTGGTGTATTCTATTTGTGTGCCAAGTTATATTGAAATCAGACCAAAACTGTAGGAGGAGTAGCATTTTGAAAGAATTTCACAGAAATTTCTATTTTTAGTTACCATGGCAACACCGTTCATCGAAATCAAAAATCTATATACAGAATTATGTATCTTGGTGTAGTGTACTTGTGTGCCAAGTTATATTGAAATCAGACCAAAACTGTAGGAGGAGTAACATTTTAAAGGAATTTCACAGAAATTTCTATTTTTAGTTACCACGGCAACACTGTTTATCGAAATCAAAAACCGATAAACAGAATTATGTATCTTAGTGTAGTTTACTTGAGTGCCAAGTTATATTGAAATTAGACCAAAACTGTAGGAGGAGTAGCATTTTGAAAAATTGTTTACAGACAGACAGACAGACGGACGGACGCCGGACGCATTACTATCGCATAAGCTCTTCTGGTCTCTGACCAGTGGAGCTAAAAATGGACCGAAGAAACATTTAATTCTTGTGATTGATAATCTTTACCCTGTAAAAAATCACTCTAATTCTATACATTAAAACCGATGTTGATGTTTAAAAAATGTTCGCGTCATTGACATCATTTATGCAGTCTTTTCAACAATTTTTTGAATTTGGACGGGAACTAAGTGCGCTACCTTATGAGCTCACTGTTCTTTTTTGTACTCATATGAAAACAGATCTGTTTCAATTCTGACAAAAGATTGATTGATTGATTGTATACTGTTTAACGTCCCTCTCCAGAATATTTCACTGATATGGAGACGTCACCATTGCCGGTGAAGGGCTGCAAATTTAGGCCTATGCTCGGCACTCAGGGCCATTGAGCAGGGAGGGGTCTTTATCGTGCCACACCTGCTGTGACACGGGGTCTCGGTTTATACGGTCTCATCCGAAGGACCGCCCCATTTAGTCACCTTTTACGACAAGCAAGGGGGTACTGAGGACCTATTCTAACCCGGATCCCCACGGGGCTCTGACAAAAGAAAAAAGAAAAACATTTTCCTTAACTCGAGCGAGTTTCTTAAGTTAACAAAAGTTTCTTCTATGCACATGTCTCTAAATATACTACAATGAACTCGAATTAAAATCATCGAAGTTTACAAGCACTTCCTTATTTAAGTTTCTATTTCCCTTTTTTACCTGCAAATGCTAAGTTTTTTTTTCTGTTTCCAAGCAAAAAAAATGATCATACTACTGTAGATCATGAAATTTTACTGTAGATAATTTGTTAGCAAATTTGCATTTCCATTGAATTCGCAAAAATATTTTTCTTAACATAAAACAACAAAAAAAGCGTAAACGAAAACTGTGCCGAGATCCGGTTTCTATTTTTGACCGGTGCAGTGGTCATTCTGTGTATACAACCTAATTTTCCATGAAAATCTGTGCTTGAAGAGTGCCTAAACTACATTCGATATCGTCCGCAGACAGTGTCTTTTTTAAATTAATTCGCTATGAGAAACAATTTTATCTAACAACAAATCGTTTTATACTGTATGTACGTATGCATATATTATCCTTTATAGATGCGTAACTTATAAACATAAAGGGCTTTTTAATTTAAGTTCCAGTGACAACTCAAAAGATGTTTTATAGTATGATCAATTTTCTTTTAAAACCGAAACAGACCACTGCCAAAGTTGATGTTACAGGCTGTCAATATTCTCGTTCAAAATCTGCATTTTAAAAATCTAATGGATATCAAAGTATTTTGTAAGCGAAAAGAACCTTTCAACAGGTATTTTGACTGATATATGAGGTGTGTGATACATGTAACCGTATGATGATCAGTATTTAAGCTCAAAGCCTAGGCCATTTTAAACAATACAAACCGGGAGCAGAGCAAACACGGACTAAAACAAGACCAGGTGTCATGGAGAAGTGAGTATTCCCTGCCGACGAGGCACACGCGCTGTGTTTTTTTTTTTATTTTATCACAAAAACTATTTATCACAAAACATACTCTTCCCTTAATCCTTACCCTGCTGGTAGCAACAATTTTTACAGCATTTCATTTCGGCTATTTCCGTGTCGCCGATATTGA